ATATATGTGTGTGAGTGAAGACGGATGACGATGAGTATTATATATATATATTATATATGTGTGTGAATGGTTGTTGAACGATATGTGATTCAATGTGTAGTTTTTGTAGTGTGCTCGTATATATGCTGCATGTGTGCATACTTCCAACTAAGCTCATCCGGACCGTGTTCCTAGACGTGTCATGTGCATACATACGCACACACACATACGGATCATGCACCCATCCACATCTGTCTTTTTGGTGTCCATACATCTCTATTTATGTATCCGTGCTTGACGTTCATATCTACTGTTTATATCCTAACGGAATACACACTTGTGTGAACATACTATACAGGGACTATACACAGTCAACGGAATGTACACTTATATAAATACCTGAGTCATGCACCGTACAACAGTAAATCTGGATTGTTCGAGCTAGTGGTTGTTCGAGAAGACATACACACCCATACACACATACGTTTACCCATACACACATACGTTTACCCATACACACATACGTTTGCCCATACACACATACGTTTACCCATACACACATACGTTTGCCCATACACACATACGTTTACCCATACACACATACGTGTATACAAAGATAGTTGGGTGGTGAACATACACACCACACATATCACCTACCACACTCACACACTTGTCACTGAAGAGTAATTCATGTTCTGTCTATTAATGTTCTGTCTATTTACACAGTTAGATAGACTTATAACACACTCACACACTTGTCACTGAAAAGTAGTTCATGTTCTGTCTATTTACACTGTTCGATAGACTTATAACACACCACACACTTGTTACTGAAATGGTCTGTCTATTTACACTGTTAGATGGAAGGATACAACGCGTGTCTCCGAAGGCTGCGTCGTTTGAGCTGGTGGACATTCGAGAAGACATGTTGCTCGCAAAGGTGTCCACGCCCGCATCCCCTCCGGAGGTCGCCACAAGGGATATGTATGTGTATTTAGAACATGGATGTGCATTAGTATATTATATATATATATTTATATATGTATGTATGTATGTATGTATGTATGTATGTACGTATGTATGTATGTATGTATGTATGTATGTAAGTCTGTCTGTCTGTCTGTATGTATGTATGTATGTGTGTATGTATGTATGTATGTATATATATACGTATGTTTGTATGTATGTGTGTACTTATGTATGTATATATATATATATATATATCCTATCGAATATAGGTAGTAGTCCCTTTGTCGCTTAGGCAACGCAGTCTCTGAAATACGTATAAACGTTTAGATAGGAAGTGTATTGCTTTTCTAGGCAAGCCTCCACACACATGCACCAACGCAAACCGTATGCTTTTTGATATACACATAGATGCACATACACACTAGATAAACATAAGAACGTTTAACAAAAAAGTGCAATGCTTTTTTAGGCAAGCCTCCACATACTTGCACCAACGCAAAATGTATGCTATTTGATATACACATAAGTGATGCAAATACACACACACTCACACACACATACATTTTTGTAAGCCCTTGTACGTGTATGGGGCAGTGCCGTATGAGAATAGGTTTATGGAGCCGTGCAATTCATGCAACGGTCGTTGTAGTACTGGGAGTGTGGATGTAAACGACCGAGTCGCGAAAGTTGTGGAGAATATTTAGACAATCTACAACATCGATTCGGGTCAGACTATTTATCGATTAACATTAGATAATTTATCGATATAATCAAACATTTTATAGATAAAAATCAAACAATTTATCGACATTTATCAGACACTATATCGATAAAAAATCAGACAACTTATTGGTTAGCTGTCTGATAATGTGACGATAGTGTCGGATAATAATCGGCCACAACGGCGAGAACCATCCGCACTATAGCTGTTACGTATCAACGGATCCTTCGGACGAATTCATCAGACGTATTCGGTTGTTGGGTGTGTTATATGTGAGCCTTTACCAGGACTATACACACATACAAACATACTTACGTACGTAGAGCGTGTCCATACACACATACAAACATACTTACGTACGTAAAGCGTGACCATACACACATACAAATATACTTACGTACGTAGAGCGTGACCATAGACACATGCAAACATACTTACGTACGTAAAGCGTGACCATACACGTATAAAAACATACTTACGTACGTGAAGCGTGGCCATACACACATACAATCATGCTTACGTAGCTGACATTTATATACTGCATATGGTATCACTCTGGACACAGGAAAAGCACCAACCCCATCTGGGAGACTGTCACGGGTACTCCGATCAAAGAGGCCAGCAGTTGGGGGGTGCTACAGGTGGCTGTGCCAGATGGTATGATACAATACGTTGATTTACCCGGACAAAACGAACCAGCCATACACATGCGTGCAGTGTACGAGTTATGGATATATCTTATATATATATATATATATATATATATATATATATATATATATATATATATATATATAATATAATATATATA